GAAAGGAGGGGGTGGAGAAAGAGCGAGGGGGGATGGGCGGTGGTTAGCATGAGACCAAATATTTGCAGTGAAAGGCCCGTCATTGTCCATTAGACTTTCTCTCCTTTCTGCTCTCTGGGTGCATTAACCTCTTCTTCAACAATGCTCCCGAACAAAGGAAGTACTGTATGTGTTTATGTGTGCGCCCGAGTTTGTGTGTGTGCGTTTGCTTTTCTGCCACGCCCACACACTGTCCATCCCCTGCATCAACACACACGCACACACACACACATATACTAGTCTGTCTGCCACAGATGATCAGAAAAATATTGACTGTTGTCTTGTGTGCACATCAGTCATCGCCCAGCATGTGTGTGTTTGTTGGGTTGTACTTAAATATATTTACTAAGATGTGCTTCATTCACAGCAGTTATGGTCTGATGTGCTCTCTTTAAACCAGCGGTGCGCAGCCTCTTGTGCTCCACGGACGGTTTAACGTCAGACCATCACGGAGCGGCCTTTAAGGTGTGGCGGACAAATGCAACAACAAAACGATACGACCGAGAGAACCGCGGCGGTATTTTGTAAATATAACGGTAAACGTGAATTCACTGTCTGTTAGCAGCGTGCTGCTGAAACGCGCCAACACTGACGGTAACGTCCTCCTCTCTGCCCCTTAATGCTCTCTGGTCGCTATAGTAACGGGTACATATTTCTTTCAAGATAAGAGGCACCTACAAAACAAATATAAAGTACATGAAAATATATACTTCACCGTAATGCTAAATCGATGAGAGCCCTGTGCTTGTTTCTCTGCACCGAGGAGCTCACACCTGGGTATAGTTGGGGGCGATGACTTGATTTAGTTTTTCTTTGCCACCAAAGAAAAAAAAACAGAACGTTATTCATAACGCAGGGGGAAAGACCCAGGGAAACCGAGTTAACGATAAACCCCCTGGAAACCATACATTTCACACCCGAGCCTCAACTCTCGCAGCCCGGGGGTGGGGACGGCTGCTTTAGACTGTAATGTGGTCGATGCTCTCATCAGCAGTAAGTGTGTGACGTTGCTTTATGAACATCTGCTTTGTTTTGCTTGAAATGACAAAATACCTGATTGTAATAAGACAAACACAGCAGACGATGTCTCACACTCATGGCCCTAGCCTTACCCTGTATCTTTAATGCTGCTGCTGTTTAGTTCATTAAGAACTGTGATTTTCAGACACAGTTGGTTAGCCGACTCTTACCTGATGGTTTGAAGACCATTCCTGACGTGATCATTATATGACCCATTTTTGTAGTGCCACAGTAGTATTACGTTAGCATCCCACATCATATAAATGTTCTCGTGTGATTTATTTATACAAAATGTCTTGATGAGTTGTTCCTGCTGACATTAGTGGAAGATGATCGAGTAGAGACCATGTGGAAATAACTGCTGACTGCAGCAGTGTGGAGTTGACTGTGCAACTTCACTTTTTAAAGCATCATTTCTACTTGGTATCAATGTTTGGCTGCAATTACATGCAACTGTTTAGTAAACTGCAAGAACATTATTATTCAATCTTCAGTTCAACTGAATTCCCTTTTATTTATGCAATACCAAATCACTACAAGTGTTCCCTCAAAGTGCTTTGTGTTGTAAGGTCAAGACTCAACCATAATACAAAGAAGAAAAGAAAACCCCAACAATCACAGCAAGCGCCAGTGGGAAGGAAAAACTCCCTTTTAACAGGAAGAACCCTCCAGCACAACCAGGATAAGGGAGGGGCGGGGCCATCTGCTGCGACTGGTCAGTGTGAAGGGAGAGAGCCAGAGATTAATAATTACTATTAACTGAATGCAGAAGTGTGTATTAACACCTAATGACTGAAAAAAAAGGTGAGTGAAGAAGAAACACCCAGTGCATCATGGGAATCCCCGGCAGCCTACATCTATTGCAGCATAACTAAGGGAGGATTCAGGGTCACCTGGTCCAGCCCTAACTATATGCTTTAGCAAAAAGGAAAGTTTGAAGCCTAATCTTAAAGCTAGAGATAGTGTCTGTCTCCTGAAACCAAACTGGAAGCTGGTTCCACAGAAGAGGGGCCTGAAAACTGAAGGCTCTGCCTCCCATTCTACTTTTAAATACTCTAGGAACAACAAGTAAGATAAGATCATTAAGATAAGATGGGGCCTGATTAATTAAGACCTTGTATGTGAGCAGCAGGATTTTGAATTCTGGATTTAACAGGAAGCCAAAACAGGAGAAATCTGCTCTCTCTTTCTAGTTCCTATCAGGACTCTTGCTGCAGCATTTTGGATTAGCTGAAGGCTTTTCAGGGAGTTTTTAGGACTTCCTGATAATAATGAATTACAGTCGTCCAGCCTGGAAGTAATAAATGCATGAACTAGTTTTTCAGCATCAGAGGGATTTCTATGATTTCTCTGTGTTATTGTAGAGTCCTAACCTTAAAATATAAAGCACCACGCAGCACCTGTTGTTGTGATTTGGTGATATATACAGTACATAAAACTGAATTGAACTGAGTGAACCACGGTCAGAACTAGAGCAGGGTGATATGGCCAAAAATATTGATCACGATATATATTTGAAAATTTGCGATAACAATATAACCGACGATATAATTGATGCGAGACAAAATACAACTCCACAACATTACTAGCGCAAAAAGACAACCTTCCATTTATTTTCACTTAAACAAGAAGCTGGTTTTTATGTACATTAAAGCTTTATAAAAATGTAACAGTGCAAATGCAAATTCCTTGCTGAAAGTTTAACCAAAAGGCATTTCCAGTAGAAATGGGCTGACATATCCTGAGCATAACCATGTATAATATCCACTGAAGTTAAAAAGAGGTGCTTTGCAACATTAAACTGCAGTGTGCAGTACGCATTTTTCGGACCATAAGGTGCACGGGATTATAAGGCACATTAAGCGAAACAAAGCAGTCAGATAAATCAAACTTTATTAAACTCATTCTTCTTGCTTCCTCCACTTCTGTACCATTGATTCATTAATGTTGAATTCTCTGCAGCTGCTCTATTCCCATGTTGCTGCAGTATATTAATGACTAACCTCGTATTGTGGATGGATTATCTCAGTTGTTCTCCTGACTGAAGTTTGGTCCGTTTACAGCATCCTGCCATGCGATTGCATTTGTCTCTAACCATGAAGAACCTTCACGTTAACTTTTATAGGTGGAAAAGTGTTAGTGTTCGTCCTCCTTCACTGTTTATGTTATGCTAACATAGCTGTGTCGCTAGCGATCACGTAGCACAACATTATATACCAGCTAGCCCAACTTCAGTAACCCTACAAACGTCACTGCTGTTTAGTTTCCTGTCTTCATTTATGTTGGAAGTGATAGCAGAGCTGTACGTTTGAATTTTTTCAGAAATCTCTCAGTCAGAACATGCTATATCATGCTTAGGTAACTAGCGAAACTAGCGAGCTAACTTCCGCTAGCTTCCTGCTAACTTCTAACTCCTTAAATGTAATAAATTTTGTTTTCATGGATGCCTGGAAGTTAAACTTTATAGTTACACCTGGTAAAGCAGCAATGCTGATCGTTTTATTACAGATGAAAGAATTTAGACAGTTTTTAACTCTAAGTGATGCTGCAGTGTTGTTTGACCTGAAGCATACGGAGTTTAGGACCCAGATTACTCCCAGATTTAAGAGCATCTTAGTCCGACAATAACAACGGCCGCTTGCATGTTCTGCAAAAAAATGTGCTTTGTTGTGTATCTGACGGACAAACACCAAACCAGTTCCACATCACGGAAGTTGCACCATTTTTACAAACCAATTCTGGTTCATCTGTTTCACTCAACAATCGGCCATGTGCGTATGAAAACAAAGGCACTGCACATGCGCGTTTTACTCCCATTCTATCGGGATATTTCATTTTCCTATCGTTGCCTAACATTATACCGGTATTACCGTGAACGGTATAATATGGCCCAGCCCTAGTCAGAACAATGGTTCACTTTACTGTTGGTCAACGATGCTTTACTGAGCACACAAAGCACTCTATAACACACAATCACACATTCACATTCAGTGCTTTACTCTGTTTTGACTGCAATCACTGCCACTCACTCTGATGGATGGACTGGGGCCAATCTGTGGTTCAGTATCTTGCTCAAAGACACTTCAGTAATACACAGCACAGAATATAGCTGTGTGTGTGTGTGTGTGTGTGTGTGTGTGTGTGTGTGTGTGAGACGACCAAAAATTTGCATGCTACTATACTTGTAGGGACCAACAGTCACTTTTGCAGATAAAAATGTGGTTTTAGGCGTGGTGTGACAGTTAGGTGATGTTAGGTTCAGGGTAAGGGTCTAGGGACAGTATCATGTCAATGTCCTAACTAATTAGTAAAAACAAAGGTGTGTGTGTGTAACTGTCTCCTCGTTTCACCGTCAGCAGTCGGAATCATCATTGAAACAACAAATATAAAGGCATTTAAAAACAAAAGCAAAAGGCAGATAACACTTTTGTGGACAAAAAATATCAGACATAACTGTATGAAATGATCACGTCTGCAGCTACGCAGCGTTCACACTGATATTGAGCACCAGGCTTACCCGAGCCTCGTCCCATGGAACAAGAAAGAATTCCTACAACAGGCTGCACTACAACATTCATTCACACAGGGTGCAAGCTTCCTATCGCACACAGGTTTCTGTTTTAAGGCTGATACTAGGCTGATTAATGTGAGGTGAGACTCCAAAATATGGAGTTATTGACAAAGATTGTAACCTTTGAAGCATTAGAATAACAGTTCAGCCACTAGTGTCTTACACACAGTTTCTTTTGAAATAGTAGTATTGCAGTACAGACTTGTCTTTGTGGAAAGTTGGTGATTAAATATCTGCCATTTATCCACATGATGTGACAGATTCTGAGTCACGCTGCTGTGGTTATTATCACTGTGATATTCTGGCCTTTGAGTGAAAAGATCAAGCTGTCTAACTACACAAACACACAGAAACAGTACAACATGAGTACCTCTGTCAGTGCAGCTCTTTTGTCCAGGTGTACAGCAGTGCTGGGTGACTACGCTGTCTCTCCATCTCCATCAATCCTTTAGCATCCAAAGGGAAAAAAGAGAGAAAACAAAGACTAAGCAACTGTCAGGCAAATACAGAGTAAGGCCACAAAGATAAAAGATGGCAGTATAAAAAATGGGGGCGATGCTGTACTCTACCCATGAATGTATTTGCTCCTTTCTGTCCCGTTCTCTCATTCTGTGTGAGGCTCACTGTTCCTCAGGCTTTCTCTCTGTGTTACACACTGATGCCCCATCTGTCGCCGCCCCCTCTCATTCCCATCCCACCTCATACATTATTAATGAGTTTCACACACACGCACACACACACACACACTTCTCTGTGCATGTAGTACAGCCGAGGAAGCCCCCTCAGTTAGTTCAGGCTTATCTGAATTTTCCTATAGAGATTGAAAATGTGACGTCATTCAGGGGTAAAACCGCAAAGGATTCTGGGAACTCGTGGCAAGAGGTACTTTCAATTGAAAACAGTCACACAGCGATAAAAAGAAACACAAAAATGGCAAGAAGCTGTTGTGTTATTAACTGCAATAGCCGGTCACATGACAGCCACGGGAAGCCGACGGGTAAAGAGATCGGTTGTTATCGGATTACGTCGTTGAAGAGAAATTGTTCAGCCATGTTTCCGAAGTGACAGACGGATGGCCTGGATTGCAGCCATTCAAAGATCAAATATAACGTCCTAGAACACTCCAGCTCACAGGTTAGTCTGCTCCAAGCATTTACACGAAGGTCAGTCTGCTGTTGTAGTTAATGCGTCATTTTCATAACATAATTGGTGATATAGGTTACAAGCTTTCTTCTCTGAACCTTATCCGTACCTTATTATATACATCTGTACTATGTAAATATGTATATTTTTATAGTCTTCTCATTCAACTCATTACAGTGCAATATCTTGCACGTCATGGATATATATTTATAAGCACAAACATATGGACTTTTACATTGTTTTTTTATATATTTTTTTACTTTTAACTTTTGTTTCTTTTCCTTTTTTTCTTAGCTTATGTAAAATCCTTTTTAGCATGTTTGCACAGTCGGGGGGAGTACTTTTTTAGCCAGAAAAAACATTTCACTGTATGTTGTACCAGCTATAACTACATGTGACAAATAAATAAAGAATTGAATTGAAGCAAGTCTGGCGCTGAACAGAAATGGTCGCGCTATGCTCCTTTATTTATTGTGCATAAATAGTGAATTGTCCTGACACAATATTGCGTTTCGCTTCTGTTATTATGGTACACTGACAAAAACATTTTATTCACAGGGTAAAACAGTTGTTTTGTATCACTAATTGTCCAGTGCGATTACAGCATACAATATTATTGTCACTGCTACATTTCTGTGATGCTACCAGAAATTATTTCCACTGCTAATTAATTACCGTTGAGCTCAAAGGTCCTATTAATAAACGGTTAAGGAATGTGTATTTATGACGATTTGTGAGATTGGTAAACTTATGATACGTACGATGGTCTTTCGTTCTACACGGTGCATTTCAAGGTCCTGCACCCATCCGTCGGTAAACTGTACCTGAGCTTGTTGCAGTGACCGGAAGTTACTAAACTTCATGAGTGTATGCACTCACTCCAAGAACCGTATAATTATAAATATGAGCGTGGTGAAAGTTGGGCAGCACGCTAACGTCTTTTGTCCACTCTGTGTGCTCGTAAGGATCTAACACTTTCACTGGTTTGATTTTTTTCCTCGTATCTTTGACTTTTCATCAAGTCAGTCTTTGTACGGACCGGCATTGTTCTCCTTCGTTTTGTACATACCTTTTTGGGGGGCAAAGAAAAAGCAAGAATTTATTGGAACCGGAGAATGAACGTTTTGCGGTGCTGCAAATGCTTGCATTTGATGCAGTACTTGGATTGTTTTGCCACGAGTTCCCGGCATGCAATGCGCGAAAGTCACGTGGTCTGTCAATCTCTATTGATGAAGCACAGCTGGAAGCTGGGCCGCTCTACACTGGGGGCAGGGGCCCCCGTAAATCAAACTTTTAGAAGTTGAGAAATAAATAACCATTACCCACAAACTGAATATGGACAGGATTTACTACAGTGGCTGAAAAATCCACTGGAAAAGGTACAAATGAGATGGTTTCACCTCTCGTTCACTCTTTCCCTCTGTGCTCTGTTTGTGCACAGGCTCACACAGCACTCGGCAGAGATCCCGCCCCCCAGCTCAACATCCAATCACTGTTAGTATGCAAATGAGCCGGTGTCAGGTTTCTCAGTAGGCAGGGCAGAGAAAAATGAAGCAGCAACTCTCTGTGGTCCAAATCACAGTGACTCGTGAGATGATTAACAAGTGAAAATCCATCTGCAGGCAGTGGGAGAGCAGTCCACTGTTGTGTTTCCCTCTGTGAGCCCGTAGGCTGCAGAGACACAAAGCCCCGCCCAGCTTTCAACAGTTTCCTCGTTTCATATTCTGATGTAATCACAGCGATTTCACTACAGCTAGTTCACCCCCAGCTTCCAGCAGCTCACAAAGGTCCAGCCCCCTGTCGTCGCATCGGGTTACATCATTTGGTGATCGCAGCCCATGAATCAGATCTTTATTGTCACTGTTAGCAGTTTGGCATCTCTCCATCGGCAGGATGTAAGTTTTTACATTCAGATTCTTTTAAGACGAGAGAAGAAGATGAACTAGACTTAAGAGGTACCTACACAGGGAATGTATGTAACACACCACAACATAATTATCTGCACAAATAAGATACGTACAAGTTATATCCATTGTAAACAGACGAGCTTAAAATAAGACAACTTACGGGAAAGTAACAGTAATCTAATTACTTTTTTGCAATTGTAATCCCTTGCTTGTTACATGAAAAAGTAATCAGGTTACAGAGATGTGTTCCTTGTAATGCGTTCCTGCCCCTCTCTGTTGTTTTATTTTTCAGTTGCACCCCTGAGGGAATCGATTCTAGCTTGGATAACGTGATATCGAATTATATTCAATTAATATCAATTAATTTTGCCCGAAACGCCAGAATCTCAGGATAAACCTCACAAAATTTCAACAACCACCAAACAGCTAAAACAGTAAATGAGAGCAGGAACACGGATTCTGCACAGAGACTCAGTGACATGTAGGGCTGCCACGATTATGTCGACTATTAAAATCGTCGACGACTAATTTAATAGTCGACGCGTCGTTTGAAGCTTTGTAAGATCACAAAGGACGCAGGAATGAGTAGTAGGATTTAAGAGTGTAATAACGGACTGAAACAGAAGATGGCAGCACTGCATGTACAAGGATGCCAGCTGCCGTTAAACCCCGAAGAAGAAGAAGCTGTGTCCCAGAATTCATAGCGCAGCTGTCAACAATGGCGGCAGCTAGTTAGTTTTAACTTTACTCTTATTATTCTTTCTGGGTCACAAAATAAACGTTTAGCATATGTTCAGGCGAGAATGTAGCTGTGTAAACCTTAAATATCTGCTCAGTTTATCAAGACACCGCATATTTTCAAAAGCGCTCCGACGTTTTCGGAGACGTCTGTTACCCACTAGCTCGTTAGCTAGGCGGGGGCTAGGCTAACTAGAGCCGTGAGAACACCGGACTCCCGGCAAATCGTTTTCAAACCCACCGCCGTCTTTCGCTAGTCAGGTTAAACATGATATATAAGTCACTTAGATAACTTAAATGTTATTGTTTGGCTTTCTTTATTATTTTATTTGTTCCTGAGTAAATCGGTTTGGCTGAGATTAAAGTTATAGTTTTTGCACGGCTAAAACTGTCAAGCAGACAGCTGATTATCAGAAGTGTGAGATGCTCGAGAATTTACTCCGGTGTCCTGTTATATTTTAGAAAGCAAGGAGTTTATTAAACTTCACCGAAACAATCTGCAAATTTCATTAAAAATTAATAAACTACCATCTTGTCTTTATTTTTAGTTAGCACAAACACTTCAAGCTGTAAGCTAATGATAGTTATATAAGACCAGATGCTGCCGGTGCAATAAGCTGTACGCTGTACGTCCAATGGATGATGATCTGATTAGTCGACTAATCGCAAAAATAATCGGTGACTAGTCGACTATCAAAATAATCGTTTGTGGCAGCCCTAGTGACATGTGGCTTTCTCACCGACGGCACGGACACGGTCGGGGCTGAAAGCGACAGCTCGCTGATGCTGATGCGTCGGCGGCTCCACGCTTTGTGTTTACGTCCTTTTGGCGCTGATTCTGAAGCTGCAGGTTTGATCTCTCTCCAAACAATATTGACTGAACCAGCAGCAAAAGAAGATCCAAACTACGCCTCACGTAAACATCGTCATGAATTCCCTCTTAGCTTTGCTGTTTTGCTTCCACCTTCTCTCTCTCTGTACTTCAAGAACAGTTTCCCAAATCAAATTTAAACACTTTAAAATTATGCAAAATGCATTACTGCAAAACGCTCAGCTGTGTCTGTAATCAAACCTCTGCCACTTTGCTCTGCTTCACATGAGATGCATCAGGTAACGTTCAAGTGTTGATTAATGGTTTTCTTTAGTTTTTGATGTACTGCAGAATATTTTTATAAAATCCAGACCAGGAAAATCACCTTCATGTGTTTCTGTGTTTTATCCTCAGTCACTTTGACACAAAGGCCTCTGCTGTGATGCTCACACCTTTGATAAAGTCTCACATGTGTCAGCTTTCTTTTTATAGATACAAAAATATGGAAATGTGCTGATACGTGATCAAAATTATAATATTTCTGACTCAGGCAAAATTTCCCCGATTCAAATCAAATCAAATCGAACAATACCCAGCCCTAGTCACGAGCCTTGTGTGCCTTGGGGTGGGACACCCAACATGGCCAGGTCTTAAGGTGTAATCCAATTACATGACAAAAACAGTTCTCCAGAGCAGCAGCATTTAGAAAGTCGGCAAGTGTTTGTGAGTATTTATTCACTTTAAATATAGTTAACATTATAGTTAGCAAATATCCACAACTCCAGCTAATGTTGAAGCAAAACAAGAAAACCACTGAATCTAATATGTGAGCTTGGAACATGAGAAG